ATATTAGCTAACTATAAACTTTAACCACTCCAATTCAATTTAATTTAATTTTGCTCGACTGTGTTTTTATTATAATCGTTAGTAGCATTAGTAGAAGCTGTATTACTTGGCACTAATAATTATTATCAGTGTTTTCCCATCTACATTTTCCATTAAAGTTTCTCAAGCGATAACAAAGACGCTCAAAGACACTCTAGTTAATATAGCTAACATGCAAAAAACATTTTAGTTCTTGTTCAAAGAAGTAAAAATGCGATTTTGTAGGGGAATGATAATCGCATGCCAATAAACAATAAAGCATCAGAAGGAAAAGCAGCTGAAAATTACATACCATCGTTGGTACAAGATGGTGACGTTTTGGTTACCGATTCAGTTGAGTGATTTAATAGCAGAGTTCCACATGCAGGTAACATAGATTCGCTTGCTGAAGTAGGTGATAGTGGTACAAGCGGTTTTAACGTTTCACGTGGTGAAGAGAGCGTTTTACCAATAACCACAAATTCCGCCGGTTCTGATATCACTTCAGGCGCAACAGGTTTAGCAAGATCGAAAGATGTTTTCAGATGTAATGAATCTGTTGATGATACAACTGTTGAATGATTATCATTAAAAACTAACTTATGTTTCACGGATGTAGTTGTTCTGCTTGATGATAAACTTGTTGTTTTAAATAACACACTGTCATACGGGTTCTATAGTATTTTACAAAACATTTTACAATTTTAAGGATTCACTACTCTTTGGAAACCAATGCAGCACAATTTGTAAGAGTCAACCAATAGCCAAAAGAATATGCGCTGTTTCAAAATTTGCATTTCACTAGATACTTTTAGGAAACAAAACATGCAATTCACAGCATAGTATTTCAGAAGTTCATGCAATTATCCTTGATTGATAGAAGCACATGTGCAAAACTACTATTCTACAAGTAATCAGTCAAATGTTGAGAAGCGAGGAAGAAGCATGCCTTTGGCAATAAAATTATTTCAAGCGATGTCTAAATGTAATAACGTGATTACAAAAGATAACAGATGAAGCGAAAGATAATCGAAGAAGAAAGAATAATAATACCACACAAGCAAAACATGCCCATCAATATAGATATTTATAGTTCATTAACAATATTAAATTAAACATACTGTCCGTAAGAGTAGAAGAGCATGGAACGCCTAAAGAAGGTGATAAACCAGCAGCTGAGAGAGATGCAAGCATTTCCGGAGTAACAAAGGCATTTGCTCCATCCGTCCCGGCAGCTACAAATATTTTTTGATAACGATAATTTTTAAACCTTCAATCAATCTGTCAAACATCAAAAAATTTGTTTTATTGAAGTTTTAAGTGAACATTATCAAACTTCAAAAAATTTCTAAAATCAGGGATATTTAGCACTACACAACTGTCGTTTTTACAAAGTTTTAATTAATCAATCCGAAAATTTTAGATCCCGAAATCCTGTTCAAACTAATCAATCTATTACACATCATATTTCAGATACTATTAGTTACACCACACCTAAATTTAATCAAAACAAAGCAAGACAGTAAAATAAACGATAATCCAAGGCGTTTACGAACAAAGGATATAGCTTCAGAAACATACTATTAGATTTTAATAATAACTTAAAGGGAACTTTACCTGCGTTGGCCCAAAGAAAACTGTTTACTGCGGCATTCAAAATCAAGACATCGTTCAAATTTGATATGTTTGAACCATTTCGTTGATCCATAAACTGATCAGAGAGCTTGCACATTTTTACATCGGTCGTTTCCTGATATTTATTTGTCCTGAAACACAGCACGAAAAAAACTCGAAAACAAAAACGAGCGTAATAATAAAAACCTCAAGTTCTTACGTACTTCAAGTATTTTTAGACATTTAATTCTTTCAGTTTTCTTCTCCCTAACATAACGAATATCTTTTATGTTGAATGTAGCTCGAGAATGAATTATCAGAATGAAATAAAACAAAGACGTTAACATATATTAGCAAAAAGAAGATAACTAAGTAGTGAGACGTTAGTTGATAGTGCAGTCGAGAAAATGTAAGAATCTTCAGATTGCTTGTAAATATTCAAGAAGTGTGCAACAAAAAAAAAAGACAAACAGACAAAACCGTCTCGATAAACTATGCAAAAAATTAGAAAATAGCTTATTTATAAATTGGTTTAAAACTAGCGCAGCACATCTTCTGAATGTTACATTTGTATTATCATATACCATGTAACTTCTTTTTTTGTGATTCCCTCAGTGTTAAACATAAGCAAATTGATGAAATAAAGCACCTGTCCACCGAACCATCGGTTTGTGAAGATGAATTCTCGATAAATTGTACATCCATAGCTCCAGTAGGAGCCATTGCTGAACTTATGTCACGTTTAGTAGAATCCATATAATCAATTGTATCAGTGACAACAAATGATTCCACATTTTGTGACTTTCCATTAACATCCTCTAATGACGATAAACTGTTTGACCGTGTGTCTATCACCAGTGCATCAGAAACAGAAG